CGAGATTACAGATTTCTAGATCCAACCGATAATCGACAACCGTAAACCGTAACACAGGCTATTTTCCAAAATTCGTCATCCGTGGGATTTGAACTCTAGACCTGCCACTTGGAGAGGGTGACAACTAGACCACTACACTAGGTTGCCACACCTCAAATATAGTTAGTTAATAGATTTTTAAACATATTAATAACTATATATTTTTTTTAAGCTTGCAAAAAAAAAAGAAGAATCTAACACTAGTTTTTTCTTATCATGAGATTATATATAAGAATCTAGTTATTTGTAAAATTAGTTAAGACTAACAGTTAAAAAATTAATATTGGGGAAGTAATTATACATTAAAATAATACTATATAAAATTTAATACTAGCTATTAATTATTAAAGCCAGTAAACTTTTTATCTGATAAATATAAATATTAAATTTTTGCTATTTTAGTCTTGACATAGGCCAAAATAAAAAGCAAACCCACAGGACTATTAAGTTATATGATAGTATAATATATACATACATATTTTATTTTTTTTAGCATGTATTGTATTTTAGTAAAAAAAAGTAATGCTAGCTATTGGATCAATATGGTTTGTTATTATAATGAAGTATATATCGATTATTCTAAATTTGTAAATCAGACTTAAATATATAGTATATAAAATTATTATTATATCCTGTATAAGTATATCTACTCAATAGATTATTAATAATCTAATTCCAAATATAGAAAATGTGTGATTGTTAGCATGTTTAATAATTGTGGTGCCGAATATAGTAAATATGTAATTATTAGTATAGAAATTATCATGTTAAATTATTATAACACAGAATAAAAATTGTTAGTTAACTTATGTTAAATTATCATAATGCTGAGTCATTTATATCATATATACTACTTCATGTCAGATTGTTGTTTACTAAACTACAAAATATAAAATAAATTTTAATCTCTAATAAAAGGTCATTTTTAAAATAAAGTTCTGTTTTGATTTTATTTGTTTTTCAAAACACTTAATATTTTTTTATAACAATAACAATTACTTACCTATATTATTACTATGTCATTACAAAATACTTTAATTATTTTATCAAAGTCCTTCAAGAGAAATCTATATAAAAAAAATCTATGTGCTATAAAAAAAACTAAAATTGAAAAGCCTAATAATCTAATCATTAAGAAAAATAATTCCACATTTAATTCTAGTATTAACCAGATCAAAGAAAGAACAAATATATTTTATAATCCATTAAAAATATGTATTAAATTACAATATTTTTTTCTTTATTGTTAAGGCTATATCACATATTAATTATATTTTTTTTTAAAGCACAAAATACAAATAGAGACTTGTAAATTTACAGAAGAAGAGATCTGTAATTATATTTAAATATAGTGAGTTTCCAAAGATTTCGATACTAAAAATTTTAAATTAACTAATATATTCCAACTCTTTATAATAGTCAGTCTGGAGTCTATATTTATTGAAAAGCTTTTAGAAGAAAGATATCAAAGGCAAATTGTTAGCAAACAACTTCCTATTGATAATAATATCTTTTTGATGCCAGCTTAATATTTAATATTATTAGAATTAGAAATTTTTTATGCAATATATATTTTGAATTCAACATTTTTAGAATTATAGAATGAATTTAGGCAGTAGACAAGTTTTGATAAAGTTTCTGATTTTAGAAAAAAATTTTACTACTATTGTTACTATATATGAATCAAAATCAACCACATATTTAGTTTGCAAGTAAAAGTTTAAAAAAATCCTCTAGAGCTTCATGATATCTTGGAGGTATTCTAGCAATATCCAAATAATAAACTTTTTATTGCAGATAAAACAACAAAGAAAGTTGCAAGTAGTGTTCATCTTGATAGATACAAATATATTTTAAAACTACAATGTTTTAAAAATACTATTAATAAAACATTAGTAGATTTTTTTGATTTTACTAACTCTTTAGCTACTAAGACTGCACAAAATATAGTAGATCAATATTATAATCATATTTTTAGCAATCTATTCTATCAATTAAACCAATTTGTTAAGGATCTAATAGAGCATTTTGGCTATTTCATCAACAATAACAATAAGCTATATATCACTGCAAACACTATATTTATATATTGTAAGAAGTATTGAAAATATGTTTGAAATTTAATTCAAGAGCTTTAGCTAATTTCTGACACTATTAATAACTATTTTGGTATTACTTATCCAACTCTGTATACTAAAATAAAAAAACTCAATCTTGGTTTTAATATTTCTAAATCTTTCAAAATTTTTCCTATAGTTGGTATTAATTTTAATTCTATTTGCTAATTTTACCAAGACTTAAAAAATCATCAAAATACTTTCTATGTCATCTGTCTACTTGGAAAATTTAAAGGTAGAGAACTAATATTTTTTGAATTAAAATTGGCTATTAAAGTAAAGCAGAGGCAAGCAATAGCTTTCTGATCACACTTTTTAGTTCATAGAAACCTTTTAATTATTTCTGGTATTAAATATAGTATTGTTTTTTATATCCATGAAACCATTATAAAGCAAAAGCAAAAATTTGGTTCTTTTTTTGATAATTGTAATTTAAGTTTAGAAAAGAATAGTAGTAAAAAAAAAAAAAAAATTACAAAAATATGTTTCTTCTAAGTTAGATTCTCAAAACTTTGAGGTTAAATTAAAAAACTATTGGCATAGTTATCTAGATAAGCATATTAGTTAATTGTATATCAATTTATATATAATGAACCCTAATGCTAATATTTGTTTCAATTTAAGATCTTGAACCTGCGAAGAAAGATTTAATAGCAAAATATAAAAAATAATATTTATTTTTTTCAAATTTGGGATTATTTAAATGATACTATTAATAAAATCTATTTATCAGATTATATCTTTATTGTTGTATAAATTTGTAAATAAATAGATTTTTTATTTTTATACAGAAATCTTAAAATAAAATTATTAAATAGTAATAAAATTTCTATTGTATAATTAAAAAATATTTATTTATTTATTTGAAATGACAAATTCATCATTACAATTTATATTCAAACCCAAATCATTAATTTGTGTATTATCCAAATCAACATTTAAAATTTTAACTTTTTCTTTATGATCAAATAGTTCTCTATTCAGATTCCTTAAAAACCTTCTTAATACAAGAACAATAAATTTTGATAACTGATCTTACAATAATAGCTTAACTCTTGTAAAAGATTTTTCACAATCTTGTCTGGCCTATTTTTTGATTGTAGTAGATGTGATAGTATCCTTTAAAGGAACTAAGTTTGTATATCTGACAAATTATTATACCATGTCAAATGTTTATACTATATTGTATTAAATAAAATTTATACAAATATTTATAACATATCAAGTAGCCACCCTTTAAAAACAAACATTACCATGTCTAAAAAAGAATAATCAAGGTCATCAATTATTCACACATATTCAATTCCAAATATACCAAGCCATCTACCAACTATGTATATAAGGCTTAATTAAGTATTAGTATATAAATCTTTTTTTATTTTTAAATCTTTTATTTCTATATTAGTTAAGCAAAAAATTTCATTTTTTATCTTTGAAGTGATAAGGCCTCTAACTATATATATTATATTCTAGAAAATGATATGATACAGATATTTATATTAAATGGTTTAGAATCTATATACTCTCTCTCTTGAAAACATGTTATACATTTTATTTATTTTTCTTTTTACATTTATAAAAACATTATCACAGAGAGTATGATTGTCAGACTATTATTGTCTATATAGCAAGTAAAAGAAGTTTTAATAAGCTTCTCATAGTTTAGTTTACTAAGCTACAAGATAAAAAATAGTTTGAAAGTATCTACCTCATTTTTTTATTATACTTTCTTGATAGTCATGCAAAAAATACTGCTTTGAGGCATAATTGTCAGATTATAATTGTTTCTGTAGAGAGAAGAAAAAAACTCAATAAGCTTTTTGTAGTTTAGTTCACTGAACTATAAAATAAGAAATAGTTTGAAAGTATTCACCTAATTTTTCATTATACTTTTTTAATAGTTATACAAAAAATACTGCTTTGAGAATGTGATTATCAGATTATAATTGTCTTTGTAGAGAGAAAAGAAAGACCCGATGAGCTTTCTATAGTTTAGTTTACTAAACTACAAGATAAGAAATAGTTTGAATATATCTACCTTAAAATTTTTATTTTATATTGATACCTGTATTCTCATAATTTATTACTTAATTGTGATCTCAAGAATAGTATTAAGAAACTATAAATCAAATAAATATATATACCTATATATATTGTAGTGAAGCAAGTATAGAAAAAATAAAATAATTTATTGTATATATTATTGTTATTATATATGGATATATAAATGCATATTATATTATTTTTATTTGCTATTTTAATAAAAAATCTATAACTCAGAAAACTCGGCACACATACTTACAATTATTATTAAAATTTAAGAAATCTATATTAGTATCTTTTTTCTAAAAATAGAAGTTTCTAAAATTGAAATAGTTAATTTTTAGAGAATTACATAAATATAGTTTGCTATACAATTTACACAAATATTGTATATATTCTGAAGTTTTAATGATATTTACTTTGCTGTGTTTATTAATACAGTAATATTCAAGATTTAATAACTATTTTAATATATAAGTCTATTCTGAATATTTAATAATTCTATAGCTCTGCTGATATAATACTATAAAAGCAACTATATATATTGTACCTCAGATCGATTTTTGTATCAGATCTAATCTGATACATCTTAGATGCCAATCTTCAGGTAATATACATCACCTGTCAATCAGTTATCTGAGGTGTATAAGCTGTAATCTGACACAAGATCATCTTCAATATCAGTAAAAAAAAAGTTTCTTCATTACTGTAATTAACAAAAATGTAGTAATGATAATATCATTATAAGTAAGAATATAAAAAAAAAAAAAAAAAAACCTTTACTTTAATCTTCTTTTTTTTTGAAGCTAGGCTTTAAAGCTATCGGTGTTTTCTCTTTTGGTTGTTTTTTATAAACATTGGTTTTATATCTTTCATCTTTGGCATTAGTATTATATCTCTTCACCTTTAATATTGGCATTACATCTCTTCATATTTGTCATTTGAAATTACATCTCTTCTCAGACTTGATATTGGTATTATATCTTTCATATTCAGTATTGGCATTTATCTTTTGCATTCGATATTGGCTTTGTATTCAGCATTAGCATTAGCTGGTAGCACTAATTTCTCTTTTTACATTTGGCACTAGCTTGCTTACTTGGTGCCTACTAATTCCTCTTTTTATATTCAGTTTTACATTTGGCATTGGCTTAATTGCTTCATGCCTACTAATTTCTTTTTTAATCTTTTTTTATATTCAGCATTGGCTTATTATTTGGTGCCACTTATTCTTGGATTTCAACTTTATTCTATTTGGTGTCATTATATTGTAACAATTTTTTTTTTAACTTTAATTTGGTATCATTTATGTCACAATAATTTTTTTTATTTTAACATCTTTAATTTGGCATCACTATGTTATAACAATTCTTTTTTTTTTGATTTGGTGTTACTATGTTGCAACATTTTTTTTAATATCTACTTTATAACTCTGATCTTGTTTGTTCTTTAATCTGCTTATTTTATTGATCTTGTTCCTTAAGTATTTGTATTATTCTTTGGTATCTTATTATTTTTTTTAACCTAGCTTTGTCTTTGTCTGATATCACTTTATTTTTAATATTGGCTTTAACTTAGCCTTGGTTCTTCTTACAAATGGAATATATATTCATTAGCAGAAATACCCTTGACAAAATCATAGAGAAATATATAAGTAACCTTCCAAAATCAAAGCAAAAAAAAGCCTTGATAAATAATGAACTTTTGAATCAAATAAAGGCAATCCTATTAAATCCAAATGATAGCTCTCTTTATAATAAAAATTTATGATTTTGGGCCAAAAAAAAATTCTAGCTCGAAAAAATTATGCCAGAAGATTATAGAGTAGTTGTAAAGGACACAATAATTCTGTGTTAGTAGTTGAAAAGTTCTATAAGGTTTTATGTCAAACCTATGCTGAGATAATACAGCATGGTGGTTAGAAACTAACTTGGAAATCAATTTGCAAAAGATGGGGTTCATTAAACAAGAAATTGTTAAACAATTTGTGAACAATTGCACAGTATGTGCAGCAAGAAAACTATTATTTCACTCTTTGGCAGTAAAACCAATTATTGCAAAAAATTTTTTATCATGTCTGCAGGTAAATGTTATATTTTTAGGATTAAATTAAATTAGAATTTTTTTTAAATTATATTTTATTTTACAGATAGATCTGATCGACCTATCCTATATTTCAGATAGTAAGTTTAAGTATGTGTATCACATTAGAGACCATTTCAGTAAGTTCTTGTGGGCCAGAGCCTTAATATCCAAGAGACCAATTGAAGTTGCATCATACTTTTTCGATCTTTTTTACATGATTGGATCACCCCCAACAATATTATAGTCAGATAATAGAAAGGAATTTGTAGTACTAGTCATCAAAAAACTGATTGGGTTATGGCTATTAGTGAAGATTATCAATAGATGCTCTAGGCATTCCCAATCACAAGATCTTGTCAAATGCACTACCAGTATTTTGCAGCAAAAGTTAGGAAACTACCAGTCAAAGCAACTAGTCATTTGGGTTAAAGTTTGTCATAGTAGCCATAAACAATTTATGATGTAGATCACACAAAAAAACTCCTTATAAACTGGTTTATAGTGAAAAGCCCTATAGCAACTGTTCTCTTGTTAATGAACTTTATAAAAATAATATTTTTGATGAAGAGGCAATTCCAGATATAGTTAAAATCTCTAATGATCATGAAATAGATTTGGATAATGATATGTTTGGTATGATGATTAATTAAATAATAAAAAGCATTTTAATTATTTTATTACTTTAAACTTTTACTATTTATTTTAGAGTTTTTGCCTAATGATTAAAAACAATCACCCAAGCCCGATTATGCTGGTTGTTTAGTTTTTTTGCTCACTAATTGTATTGGTCATTCAGTATCTTCATCCCAAAACCCAGTATCTTCATATAATAACCATTGTAATTTTTTGGTGTCTTTGCCAGACAACTATAGTAAATATATATTGATTTGCCTAATAATATAAATTGTCTAGTATGCCGTCTAATAAATTTAATAATATTATTATATAGTGCCTTCACCCAAAAGTCCAATACTTTTGTCTGATAATCTGGTGCCTTTACCAAATAACCCAGTGCCTTTATTGAATAACTATAGTAACTATATATTAATTGATTTTGTTAGATACCAGATGTTAATTTTTTTGGTATTTGTTAATAAATTTAATAACATTATTATAAAATGTTTTTGTTTAAAAATCTGGTTACTTTATTTAATAATTGTCTAGTGCCTTCGTCAGATTATAGTAACTATATTTTGCTTTCATTATTAGTAATATTGATAAGTTAGCTTATTATCCAATAAATTTAATAATATTTTTATCTAGTATCTTTGTCTGAAAACCCAGTTCTTTTGCCCAACAACCCAGTGCCTTTGCCAAATAACTATCATAATTATTTAGCCAGATGTTAGTTTTTTTTAATATCACTAAAAAATTTAATACTATTTTTATTTAGTACCTTCATCGAATTATGGTAACTATGGTATATATTGCTTTCACTATTGCAGTATTAGTAATATTAATTATCTAGTTTGTTATCTAATAATTTAATAAAATTTTTATTTAGTGTCTTCGCCTGAAAACCTAGTGCTTTTATTAAACAACTATGGTAACTATATATTACTTTTGCCAAATATTGATTGTCTAATATAGTACATAATAAATTTAGTAATATTTTTTTAAAATGCTCTTATCTAAAAACCCAGTATCTTCATTCAATAATTGTCTAGTATCTTTGCCAGATTATAGTAACTATATATTGTTTTTACTATTGGTAATGTTGATTATTTAGTATATTGCCTAATAAATTTAATAATATTTTTATCTAGTGTTTTTGCCCGAAAACCCAGTACATTTGCCTAATAGCCTAGTGCTTTCACCAAGCAACTATGGTAACTATGTATTAATTTTGCCAAATATTGATTGTTTAGTATAGTACATAATAAATTTATTACCTTTTTTTTATTAAGTACCCTCATCTAAAAACCTGGTGCCTTCGTTTAATAATTGTTCAGTATCTTTACTGGATTATAGTATATAACTATATTGTTTTCACTATTGGTAATATTAATTATCTAGTATGTTGCCTAATAAATTTA